ACAGTTCAACCCCTCGCTGACCATGAGTACGCCCCCTTCCTCAATCTCCCTCACTCTCAGCTCTCTTTTGAGTTCCCCCTCACTCTCAATTTCTCTTCAGTTTCTAGCTTTCCATCCTCTACGGGCCTAAATTTGTTAAATTTGTTGTTTTAGGTTGATTGGCCTAAATTTGTTAAATTTGTTGTTTTAGGTTGATAGGTCACATGTATGAATAGTAATGGGGAAAGTCCCAAATTACCTATATATGTATGTTGGCATTGGTGGAAGATCTAGAAAAATCACTCAAGCATTCTTTAGTAGTTTTAAAAACTTCTCTTCTCTAAAAGAATTCTACCAACTCACTGTTGTGGTCACCACAGTTTAGATGTTTCACAAGGACTTTTTGGAATTTATGCGCACCCACCATGCATCTGAGAATCCAACAGTTTAGATGTTTCACAAGGTTTTTTTGGAATTTATGCGCACCCACCATGCGTCTGAGAATCGACACACATTCTATAGTAATTCATATTTTCTGGCTCTCACAATTCTCATTGTTCCTTTGAAATAAGTCATTTCGGTCGATGCCGATACTGATGTGAGATTCTACTTTGGTTAATGATTCTTTATAAGAGTCTGTAAACCTCTTCTTATGAAATTGTGAGGCTGACAACAATATGTAATGGGTCAACGCAAATAATATTTCAACAATATGTAATGGGTCAACGCAAATAATATTTGTCAAGGGTGGGCTTTAGTTTTTACAAATGGTATTGCCAATGGTCAACGCAAATAAAATGCTTAAATAATCTAGTTAATAATGTTTTAAACTTCATTAAATTATAAGTTTAGTTCTTTACATTTTAAAAATTTTATCAAGTATTTGAACTTATGTATAATATGACTCTATACGTTTTTAAATTTTTAATTTAGTATTTAATAGGTCTACTCCCCATTTGATACTTTATCAAATTCATGAAATGTAAAATTGTAAAATTGTAAAATTGTAAAATTTATCTTATAGATCTATTAACTTTAAGCGAGGGTTTGAACCTAATAGAGATCATTTCACACAAAATAAAAGTTTAGAAATTTATTATTATACATTTTAAAATAAAAAAAAATAAAAAAAATTGAAAGTTTAAAGACTGCTATAATTAAACTTATGTTTTAATGGAAAAGAGTGAAAAGATAGGTTCAATTTGTGGGCAAAGGGAAAGATACGGACAAATTATGCAATCACCTCCCTTCGTTGTTAGCCACATCAGAAAGAGTAGCTTTAATGAGGTGTCAAATTGTAAAGGATAATATAAAAGTATTTATCAATTTCCCCAATAGCTAAGGAACAAAGGTTGAGAGAGGTTTGGATGTTATTCCCTTGGATTTCAGAGGTGGTAGGAGGTCAGTAGAGAAACCTACGAAATGTCCAAAACATGGTGGCTGTAAAAGTCTTCTTAACATGCGTTTCTTTGTCTCTCTTTGTTGCAGGGAGCAGGTGAAATGCCTTTCCCATTGGTTTACACCCACTTTATTGCTCCTCACTCCCTCCATCCTTTCAGTCCAAACAAACATTAAATAAGAAAAGAGAGTTGAATTCAATCTTTGAATCATCCAAACTGCTTGCCTTTTACAACCCTCATCACATCGATGCTTCCTCATTGCCTTTTATTCACTTTTAATGCTCACCCTCACCTTCACCTTGTTTTCTTGTTCTACTCAAACTATTCAAGGTTGAGCCACCGCCCTCACCCTTCGCTGACTAATTTTGTCTAGTACCCTTAGACTCACTCATGTCATTCTTCAATTCTTCCACATAGGATCAATGAGGGGTTCTATGAGATCTCATATCCGTTGGGAAGGAGAACAAAACATTATTTATAAGAATGTGGAAATATGTCCTTGGTAAATACATTTTAAAAACTTTGAGAGAAAGCCCAAAAGAAGAAGCTCAAAGAGAGGATTACTCAGAGGTTCTCTACCTGTTCTGCATTCTTATTCTCTAAGCCCAAGGCAGAGCTTTTTAAAATACCCTACCATTTTTTTCTACAACTATAAAAGTTATGGTCGTGAATGAGCATCAACATGAATTTACATATTGAATAAAATGGAAATATTGTATTGGTATTTGGTTTGGGAACAATACTGGTCTAAACTAAGGCCCAGATGAAAGCTTACGCTGCTAATGGTAGGAGCTCATACCTCAAATCCAACAGACTTAGACAGTGGGGGAGGGGGAGTTTTGTCACGAGCTAGGCGTGTGGTTCATAGTTGAGATACCTGATCACACAAAAACACAAAAGAAAATCCATAATGATTAGAAGGTCTATGTTATTCCCACTTGAAATTGAAGCTTCTCTTCATCAATAATGAAAGCAACTTTTTTCCTAACCACAGTGATGAGAACAGGAAAACCAAAAGTTTAGGCTGGGCCAAAACAAAGCTATATCCTTGAAATTGGTTTACAGAAAGGCACCACTTATTAACAAAAAAAAAAAAAAAGAAAAAAGAAGAAGAAGAAACTATGGCAAGTGGGGATTGTGCCAAGTCATGTCATTTGGGGTTTTCTAGCCGACCATTCCCCAAAATTTTACATGAATTTGATGGCGATTCTCCTTTTTCCACAAAGGTATCATTACGATCAAACCACAACACACTCCCTAACTTTATTTGACAATTGGAAGATGCCTTTCCTCGACGATAATTAATCAAAAAGCACTTGAATTTTGGGTTTAGATGCTAATTTTGCTTTAAAGTGAAGGGGAGATAATATTTTATCTTTCTTCTTTTCTTAGGGAATCATCCAAACCTCAATCCCAAAAATTAATACATAATATCTCTTCTATCATATTTGAGATTAACGACATAAGATTACTTTTAAAAAAAATCAGAAAACCCTCATAAACTGCTTCTAACCCACGTCCTTGAATTGAAAAGCACTTAAAAAAAACATTCTTGGAAGTATATAACTAAACATTTGAGTAAATGTTTACTAAATAAGTATTTACTAAAAACTACCTATTTCCAAAATAAAAACATTGCCAAATATATCCATATAGAGTTTGCGATTTTTTTTTTCTCTCTTTTTAAAATAGGATTTGAGATGATTTTAAGATTAGTAGTTTAAAGCAGTTTAAAACGATTATTAAGACGTTTTTAAAAAGAAAATAAGCTTTTTGGAATTTCCAAAATCAGACTTGACTATATAGCAAAACATCACGAAAATTTTGAAAAGGAGGTACTTTTTACTCTTCCAAAACTCCAATATTGTTTATTAAGCGTACAATTAATCAGAATACAAGAAAGAAAGACACTTTTAATGGGTCAAAATCACAAGAAGAGAACATTTATGGGTATAGAAATTTGCAAAATTCATAGGAAACACATTAATTAAGCCACAAAAGTCTAAAAGAGAGGGTCACGGTATGAGGTATGGGAAGGGTCCTAAGTGGTTCCCATCCTCATCTTGCAGACCAACATTATCCAAATCATCTATTGACTTTAGCTACCACATCTATAATTATACATATAAATGACATAAGAGAGGAATCTAACATAAAAAATATAATCAAATATGTGGGACCAAAGTAGCCCTAACTTGACAAATAATTCGCAATAGAAAACTAAAACATGCAGAGGTTTAAATACGAATTTCCCAACAAAAAGCAGCGATTCAAAGAAGAAAAAAGAGGATACCATACCATACCATTCACGTGGAGCTGAGTCAGGCATGATGACTAATTCGCCCATGGGCGGCGCAGGCAGTACGTTTCTTTTCACCCACCCACCCGACCGATGCCATTGGTGTATCAAAAATGACGCAAACATTTGCACAAACACTTGGTGTGCATTTTGGACCATTCGCTTTGTCTAGTCATCTACCTTGAAAAAACGCAATTACAAATCAATCCAGGTGGTGTTATTTCAAACTAATGAATCGATCTGCTGCCGAAAGGCAAGAGGAAAACAGAATTGAAGGAAGGGGGCAGGATGAATGGATTGTAAATGAATAATATTTGAGGAAGGGGCTTATCTTTCGGTGAATCTTGTCAGCATGCACGTCGCTCTCTTAAGACGCTGTTGTATCACCAAACGAAGCTATCCCTGTCGCCATTGCTTTTGCTTTTGCTTTCGCCCTCGCTTCTTCTCTTTTGGTCTCCCATCTCATTTCCTTTTATTTTCGAATTTCTTTTTATGATTTAATAAACAATTTACGAATAATTGTATTTTAATAAGCTATCCCTGTCGCCATATTTTTAATAATTGTATTTTAATAAACAATTTACGAATCCGAAACAAACCCATATCTACAAGTTAATAAAAATATGTACCGCCACCATTTTTTTTACTTCAACAACACAAGTAGAAAGATTTAAATATTCCATTTCTTAATAAGAAAAAATATATTTTAAGCCATTATTATAATTTAATAAAAAGCCATTATTACAGCGTAGAAAGATAGTATTATAATTAATAATAATAGAATAAATTAAGGTTATTATATAGGTGTCTATATATATATATATATATAAATATAATACAACCTATTTTTGAAGTAATTAAACAAAACTGAGGGTGAATTAGAGCTGACTGTGCTTCTTCATCTTTCTACGCCGACTTGTTGACCAATCAACAGCATGGATTTGAACTCCAAAACCTTAAATTAAAAAATTAACAAAAAAAAAAAAAAAAAAAAAA